CACACACACACACACACACACACACACACACACAGCCACCTGGCAGAAATGTGTGTCAGTTCTCCATTTACAGTCCATGTGACTGATGGGCATTTTTTTGGGTCCCCAGATCTACAAGGAACAGCTGAACACAAGGATCGTTCTGGTTGCCATGGAGACCTGGACCTCTAAAAATATGATGCCAGTCGTTGAGGACCCATTGATAACGCTGCAGAACTTCATGAAGTACAGGAAGGACACCGTCAAGGAGCAGAGCGACGTTGTCCATCTTTTCTCGTGAGAGGAAATCAAATTTCCACAGAGTTGTTGTTGGATGTTTTGGATGCTAATTTTATTTTTAATCATTATTACTTTTTTCCTGTGCACCTCAGAGGGCGCACATTTCACAGTAGCCGCAGTGGGATGGCCTACACGGGAGGGGTGTGCTCTCAGATGAGAGGCGGAGGAATCAACGAGGTGAGGACAATCTGAAATGGTTTAATTTGCTGTTCCATCATCAGAGATGAATTTAAACAAAAACTTAATCATGGTTTAGCTAAACATGCTTTAATATGACTAAACTAAATTTTTACTTATTCATGTTTGAATATAGTGTCATTTTAAATTTGAGATTGGAGGTAAAGTAGCATTTTTAAAAGTCTTGTCTGCAGTAGAATTACTCTCTTCTGTGAGTATTATGTATGAGCTGGAGCTGAGCTTTGAATAAACCCTGGAATCTTGGGGAAGCAGCTCTCCTGGATCTGTCCAAATAATAAAATCCACCTAACAGTAGTTTACTGCACATAAAAAAGATTTTATTGTTTTTTTTGTGTACAGATTAAACAAACGACAGGTCACATATTCATTTGTGAACTTTATTGCTGCTGTTATTCAGGTTTTGTTACTTTAGGTTTGCTGTTTCCTCTTCATATCTGGCAGATTGTTTACAGTATGTTCTTTTCATATTCAGTATAAGGCTCTCATGTGTGGATTCTATCTGTTTTTGTTTCAGTATGGGAATGTCGGTGCAATGGCCATCACTCTGTGCCAGAGTCTTGGCCAGAACATCGGGATGAAGTGGAACAACGCCCGCAACTCTGCAGGTAACAGACAAACTGAGAGACCCGGAAAGATTGAGGCGGAGCACAATAGCTTAGGGAGGTGTTTCATAGCTGTGTGGGGCGGGGGTTTAGGTGGTCCAGTGGTTGTGTTCTGTAATTAGATTTCTCCATTAGGTGATTAGTCACCTGAGCTCCAGAAGGAGGGGGCAATGGTTAGATCATCGCTGCTACTGAACAATGGGTTGTGTGATTAATGTTTGAGAGCCATCAGGTCCATTACTCAATGACAGGACAGAGCTCAGTGCACAGTGAGTCCCACACTGCTGTCCAACAGCAAGTTATCACTGGGATCTTATTTGGTGATCAAGGGTCAAAGGTCAAGGTTTACAGTGGCCTCATGTTTTTAGCCTCTCGAACATGATATGTCAAATCTGCCTTCAGGGAATTTCTTCAAATTTTGACCAGTTGTCACTTGGAGTCAAAGATGAAGTGATAGGATTTCAGTGGTCAAAGGTCACAGTGACCTCATATGAGTGTGAAAAGAATGTTTGTCGACTGAAACTGCTCTGGTTGGCAGAGGCAGACAACCACAGGTTGATAGTTCTATTCCATCATAAATCTGCTTCTTGCTGCAGCACGTGAAGCATCACATCTCAGATTATGCTTTCTTATTATTTTTTTTTTTACATCGCTTTTCTCACCTGTCATCTATGTTCCATCTGCTCTTCTTCACAGGAGACTGCAGGTGTCCGGATGCCTGGCTGGGCTGCATCATGGAAGACACAGGGTACAGATCCACCTCACACAAAACAAAACTCACCTGTCAAACGTTTCTTCTCTCTTTTTAATGACACGACAGCAGGATTGTTCCCCAGCAAGCTGTGATTTGTTGAATTAATTTCACTCAAGTTGAGGATTAAACACCTGGAACAGAAGGAGGCTTTGACTTTTGATCCCAGCTTGTATTAAACATCAGACATCAGTGTGTGAGTCTATATGAAATGATCACAAATGGTGATTTGGATCTGGCTGTCTTCACCAGATATAATACTACAGATTGAAATTATTCACTTGTCTTATATCTTACTACAGATGGTAACATTTCTGTATGGTTGCTAAGTGATGGCACAGACACCCACAGTAGATCTGGCAATGCTCCCTGACTGAAACGCACTCTGCTGCTTTTTTTTTATTTTATTTTTTCATGTCCTGCTCTCAATCGTGTGTGTGTGTGTGTGTGTGTGTGTGTGTGT